TTTAGTTAATTAGAAAGACTTTAAAAGCATCATTGTTATAAAGATATTCAACTTTCACGCTAAAATCTGTGCAAATGTCAGTTACAGGTATCGCTCTATCTCATTTCGTGGGAAGGAAAACTAAAGAAACAGAGTTAGACTGTTTACTTACACCACACAAGTGAGTGAGCCAGAACTAGACAAGCCAACAAAGAATTTGACAGTGTATTTGAGTCTTCTATTCTTCGACCCTAAGTAACCCTTCTCTTCACTACCAGAAGGCATTTATGTATTAAATCTGCACAGAAAAACTGTACTATACAATATAGAGAGAGCTAAGCAGGGACAATTCCTACTCTGAGGGTATTTACACGACAATAAAACACAGGATTTGTGCAATGGTACTTGTAGATATTCGACATTCGATTTTCTGACAGAGAAAATGAATAATTTACACGGTATTCAAATACAATGTAGCTGTTGTAAGGTAGTGGATGCTAAGAGAAAATCTGAAGTTTCTTGGTAAGACAATCATGGAATTTACTTCAAAAAGAGGAATATAATAGTCACGGAACTGAATCAATTATATGGATAATAACTTGTGGGGTTCTTTTTCCTTAAATCAGAATCCATGTAAAGTCAGCATACAACCTGGGGGTACGGCAAGAATATTAAACTCATGTGTTTGTAACACAAAAAAATTAAAAACCCTTGTCCAAACCCACATGCTTCCACTTTCCTTTAGCTATAGATAGCAGCCAGTAGAAAAGGGAACAGCCGATTTATCGGCAGTTTTGTAACACTTTGGCCTATAATTTATTTTTATCATAGCAGCACTACCTTCATCTTCATTTTATTTTACCTCTAAGGTTTACAACAAGAAAATCACTTGAAGATCCGTGTAGAGCCTGGCTTATTTGAGTGGACAAAATGGGTGGCTGGGAACACATTACCTGCCTGGATACCTCCGTCGGAGTTAGCTGCAGCCAACCTGAGTGTTGATACAACCTACAGGTAACCCTTGGAAACCACTACGTCCTGAGGCCAATGTAGAAATACTTTCTACACCATCACCAGGCCAAGTTCATAAAGGAGATGAAGTGACAGACATCACCTGCAGGCAGTTGTCCATGTTGGTGGAAGTCAAACTATAATTTGGGAAACCAGAACCGGAGAAAATCCAGCATTCCTGTGTGTTTGGCATTAGTGTGAATTAGATAACCAACCCCCAACACCCTGAGTTGGATTTTCCTGGCTTTTATTATATCTAGTTCAGTGTAATAATAAAACCATTTTATCTTCCAAAAATAATCACCTGCTCAGGATGATGCAGTTGAGAAGCTTGCCAGGAGATGAGGGAGATGACAATGTCTTGCCTTGGATTTTCACTTTTAATTTTTTAAAGCATTTTTAATTCTCCTTATTATCTTCATTTATTACTACTATAACCCCAGAATGCAAGCAAGCCATTTTTATATAGGAGAGAGTTCAAGTGGCTTGCCTAAAGTTATACATACATTGAGTGACCACACATCATAATAATAATGGCTAACTTTCACTGCTCACTTTCTGCATGCCAAGCATGGTATTAGTATAATACGCTTTGCAGTGGTCTCCTTCCTCTTCTTTTGCTTTTTCAATTAGACCCACCTGTCTGTGCTGGGATTTTAAAAAGTGATGGTAGATTGCACACAGGCGAATAATCCACAGGTACATAATTAAGAATTATCCACTAATAATAAAATTATACTAACTATCCAAACTCCACTCAGGCATTTGTAAAATCTCTGAGGAGGAACAGATAGTCACAACAATTACAGTGGGGAATTAAGTTCGTATTTCTTAGGGCAGAATTTAGAACAAGTGGCCAATATAAGCAGAACTAACTTCCTTGTGATGCTGTTGACCTTTTATTTCAAATATCTACCCAAACCACATATGAAGCAGCATGCATTTCTGACTAAGGTAGTAGAGAATATCTTTTTTTCCATACTCATTTTTTTGCTCTGCAAATAAGACCTCAGATAACCCCACTAATTAATTGTGTGTTACTTTTTCTTATCTTAAAGGAGTTAGCATTCCTCAAAAATACAATTAAATGAATCAATAAGATCCCCTACTAAAACATGTCACATTTTGTTCTATCCCCTCTATGGCCACTATTTTTCTGTTCTTTAGGGGGAAACAGCAACAAATTGTTGTCCCCATGCCAACAGACATCATCCCTCTGGCCCGGATAGAGGGGGAGTTGCTGCCAACATCGATGAAGTGACTTTCATCACTCACCACCAGCCCCACCCAGGCCAACTTGGGCCAAATGTGTCTGCAGTTCCCCCCTTAGGTGCATTCTGCACTGCTTCCCAGGCTGACTTACAAAGGTCTCCAGATCATTCCAGCCGAGCCTTTCCATGCACACAGACTCACACCCACCAGCAGTGCAAGCAGAAGGATGAATGCGGGAACCTGGAGGTCAGGACACAGGTCTTATTCCAGATTTTCTTTTCCTTTCCAGCAAATCAAAATTCAATTCAACCATTTCCTATTAAATATTTGGTGAGGGAGTTGGGAGAGGAGATGAATCCTCTAATTCTATAAATTAATTGAGAAAGCCAAAGTTAAATCATGCTAGAGGGACAGCCCTAGAGTTTAACTCCCTATGAAATTAGTGATGCCAAATGAACAAGCCTTTTGAAGCAAGTAAGTGGTGCCCAAAGGATTGAAGACATGTGGTGCCAGGCAGAAGGGCAAGCCCTGAGAGCCAGGGTAGTATGAGTCAGGCAAACCCTGCTTAAAAAGCCCTGCATCCTTGCAACAGGGGTGGACAGAGAACAGGACAGAGGCGGGACAGGTAGCCAAGTTAGGGAAATTAAGCAGGCTGGTGACTAATATGTAGGCATCATCCACAGCAAGACCAGCCTAGGGGCTGGGAGTGAAAAGCAGCCCCAGTCTTGGGGAGCTGGGCCAGAAGGAGCAGGATAGAAAAAGCAAAATACAGACCAACTGGGCAAGGCTTCAGAATAGGGCCCTGACTGGGCTAAGGGGGGACTGGCGGAGGGCGTGGATCTGGAGTGGTAGAGGGATAATGAATCAGACTTTGGTGTGGAGCTCAAGGCAGAGGCCTGAGTTATAGCCTGGACCAAAGCAGGTTGGGGAGTAGAGAGTGCACCAGGGAGGACACTGCTCTGGGGATGATGCCACCTGAGAACACAGAACACTGGGTTCTAGATCTAGTGGGCACTGGGAAGCCCACCTGGCTCTGAGGGCAGTACAAGGGCCCTGCAGGTTGGCTAGCAGCATGACAAGTCCTGCTAATGAGGCAGGAAAGCTTTGACTGTGTCTCATGCCCACGAGGGCCAGTCAGACACTGGAGCCATTCATAGGTTCAACTTCAAGGTTGCTGGGAGCAGCCAAAGGCAAGAACTGATCAGAAGGAACCAGATCCCAGCATCTAGCCCATTCTTCACTCACATAAATCTCACACACTGTGATGTGGTCTCGCCCTTGCAATGACTCCATGGGCCATACAGAGTGGCCTTTTGTCACTGTACCTGGGAGCCTTCTGGGGGACCAGGTGACATAAGTGGTGATGGAACTGGATGAGAGGGGGGATGACGAGAGAAGGCAGGGGAAAGAGTTTGCTCCAGAACAGCGAGATACAGCCCTGACAAGTGGTGACTCACGTCTCTACCTACCCCCAGGGTGCTGTGGGAGTCACAAGGTTGTTCCCTAGGAGAAATGTGCATGCTGAGAGAATGTTAGAGAAGGGCAATTTCTCCTTCAAATGGGACGGCATCCTCCCTATCTGGACAGTAAGCCCACATGCGCAGAAGTACAGCCTTAACAGGAACACAGCCAGGCGCTGCCCAGGGTGAGGGATAAGCGCACAGATCAGATCTCAGACCCAGTTCAATTCCAGGCACTAACAATTGCTAGTGGTGTGAGCGTGGACAAGTGAGCTGCAGCCTTTCTGAGCTCTCGTTTCGTCATCCACAAACTTGGGATTTGTGAAAGGGCCGCGGGGAGGATTACACTGAAAGAATGCAAGTAGGACACTTGCACAGAGCCTGACACGTGGGAACCTCTCGGTAAATATTTTTAGCACTGATAGTAGCAATTCTAATGTATTATGATCAAGATGCCATGTGAATTCTCTTTAAGAACTCACTGCCACCTCTGCCATGCACTAAACGCCCAGAAATGAAAGACAAAATAAGGAAACAGAAAAGTGAAAAGACATAGTTGTACTCAAAAACAAGAGAAACATCTCGTGGACCAGAAACCACAAAGAAACTAAATAGTTAAAGCCGGTAGAAGCAGGCTGGGCCCTGTGGGCATTGGTGACTAGGTTTGAAGACCTGCAGGGTCACCAGGACAGGAGGCCCCACTTTGATCGTACTCTTAAACTCCCTTATAGATCATGCCATAATTATCGTTTACATCAATAGGCTTCTCAGCCCATCCACACGCAGACAGCTCCTCAAGCACAGAAACTGGGCTCTCCGTCTTATGTCCCCTGGGATTCTGCTAGTGCGAGGTGTATGGTCTATGTTCAAAATAAGAGAGAAAGAAAAGGAAAAGACTTGGGAAAATTGCCCGTGGTGGCTCACGCCTGTAATCCTAGCACTCTGGGAGGCCAAGGCAGGAGGATCCCTTAAGGTCAGGAGTTCAAGACCAGCCTGAGCAAGAGTGAGACCCCATCTCTACTAAAAAAAAATTTTTTGAAAGACTGCTGAAAATTGTGTAAGCTCACAAATCAGATGGATTTAATGTCTGTTTTTAAAACCTGTCTTTGCTGCATATAGTGTGTAAGGCTCCTGAAGAGAGACCTGGGAAATGCCTGCTGATCTAAGTAGGTAGAGAGGTCTCATCTCTGCTTTGCTGTCTATTAGCTACGTGACTAGGACCACCAATAAAAGGCTATGTTATCCTGAGGGTGAAACATGCACTGAAGTCTCATTTTTCAGCTAGACATTGTGACACCGTAACATACAGCCTTTGTTTCTGTACACTTCAAAATAGTGGAAATACTTTTCCCTATACCTCCCTATTTTCTAGGGAAATGGATTAACAGATATGTTAGAACTTTAGAAAGGTCTTGAAATAAATGTTTAGAGTGATATCCTTCTTTGTCTCTAGATCACAATGTTTTCATTTCCTTTGTTCATTTTTCTATTACAGACCTCACATTCCAGTCAGCAAATTAGTGGTTTCAGAATCCTATGACACTTATATCAGTAGAAGTTTCCAAGTAACAAAAGACATAATAAGTGAATGTAAAAGTAAAGGTAGGTGATAGTATCTTGGACTCCATGTTTAAATATGCGATCATTTCTCCATCATGCTTAATAGGCTATTGAAGACATTTCAATTTGCTTTGGCAAACTTGCTTAATAGGAAATAAATGTATTTCCAGACTCATTTCCAGATACTTTCACATTGAACTTGTATTCCCTGAGTACCTAAAATGGTAGATATTTCAGAAGAATACACAAGACTTAGTCACTGTATTCAATAACATAGAGTCTGCATTACAGCTATTCATTTTGCACCCTGTGAAGGAGATTTCCTCTTTCAATTTCCAAAAGTTCTCTAGCATACCACTGTTTTTCCTATAATTGATGCAGGAGCACAGACACCCACACACAAACACATCTACACAAACACACCTACACAAATACACCTACCGTCCCTGCTATCACGAACCAAGAGCAGTGTTCCATAAAGCTCAAGTCTTTTTGCTATTGAATTTCATAAACCTTGAGCTCAAATATTTAATGATATGCATGACTATAAGTTTTTTAGTGAAAAAGGCAGATTGCATAAGAGTATACACGTTCTCAATGTCCTTTTTTTAAAGTTAAAATATTTATATTCATAAGGCAAAGACAGAATTATATATATGAACTTAATAACAGTAGATAGCCCTAGGCAACATAATTATGGATAATTCCCACTTTCCAATTATCACTCTAAGCCACTCACGACCATAAAGGTACACAACATGTTCTGTCAACTAGAAAGTTTCAAATTCTCACAATTCAACAGTGGCAACATTTAAAACCATATTAGAAGGGGTGGCACAGAGAGCCCTATGAACATAGAATAGTTCTGTATCTTGATTGTGGTGGTGGTTACACCAATCTACACATGTGATACAATTGCATAGAACTGTATACTCACGTATATATGCAAAGGAATGCTTGTACATTTGTTGAAATCTGAATAAGCTGTGTGGGTTGCACTGTGTCCATTCCCTGGGTTTGATAATATGCCATAGTTATGCAAGATGTTACCACTCGGGGAGGCTGGGTGAAGGGTGCATGCCACCTCTCTGGTGTGCGTGTGTGTGTGTGTGTGTGTGTGTGTGTTTGAAACCTCCCATAAATTTATAATTATTTTAAGATAAAAAGCTTCTTGAAAAAAAAGATTAGGCTGCCTTAACAATAACAAAGCATTTTCAAAATATTGTTTGGGAAGTTGTCTTCCTGCATGTGTTTGCCCCTCTCCGGAACACTTAGCTTCCAATATTTATCACGTATGTCTTTACAAAAACGATCTTCCCATTCCTTGCTTGTTCCCCCCAGGAAATAACATTCTGATTGTGGCCCACGCATCTTCCCTTGAAGCATGTACCTGCCAACTTCAGGGCCTGTCACCTCAGAACTCCAAGGACTTTGTACAAATGGTCCGAAAGGTAATTCATTCTTGCATTTGTGGGGCCGGTGGTGCCTAGTAGTTTTATAACAGTTCAATGACTGGCTGATAGCTAAGTTCTTTGAAGCATGTGTTTATGCTGAGCTGGGAAAATTCATTTATTGATTCACTCAACCAAGATGTATTGAGTGGTACTCTGTGTAAGGCACTTTATTAGACCTTATATAATAGACAAAATGTTTTAGAGCTAGTTCCAGCTTCTAAGAGCTAAAATTTAGGGAGCAGCTAAGAATTATAAGCTGTCTGAATTTCCCTGAGGGACCTTGGATTGGATAAACAGAGGTGAGTCCAAAACACAGCGTCTAAAGGATCAGCTCGAGGTAGGTAGGTAGGCCAAGGATTGCAGCAATTTAAAATGATCATACTGAAAGGCAAAGCCAGGAGCAAGGCAGCAAGACAGAAAACCCATGAGGCTGACCTACACATCTGGACTCTTCGTTTTCGTGCCTGTTGTTGAGGCTTTCTGGTCAGCTACCACCCACACACTTCCCTTCAGGCGAGTTAGGTACTTCCTTTCTCTGCCACCAGGGAATCTGGTTCAAGCTCAATTGCAATTTTTTTCTCATCATTAAAAAGCTTATTTATTCATCTGCCTTTCCCATTAGTCTGGAAGCTGCTGGAGGGCAGAGATTTTTTTCTTGTTTATAGACCCAGCTCTGGACACACACACACAAGTGAGTTTTGAAATTGCCATGACTACTGAAGTTAGGGAAGGCACAGCCTCTACTTTGAATGTTACAGATCCACATGGAAAAAAAAAAAAAAAGCAAGGTTAAAACATTCAAATTTTTAAAAATTGAATATTTTTTCCCATTGTGTCCAAGTATAATTTCATAAATGTTTGACCTGCCTTTTTCTTTTTTAATTGAGACAGAGTCTCGCTCTATTGCCCTGAGTAGAGTGCAGTAGTGTCAGCCTATCTCACAGCAACCTCAAACTCCTGGGCCTCAAGCGATCCTTCTGCCTCAGCCTCCAAAGTAGCTGGGACTACAGGCACATGCCACCACACCCGGCTAATTTTTCTATTTTTAAGAGAGACGAGGTTTCGCTCTTTTGCTTAGGCTAGTCTCGAACTCCTAAGCTCAAGTGATCCTTCCGCCTCGGCCTCCCAGAGTGCTAGGATTACAGGTGTGAGCCACCACGCCCAGCCTGAGCTACCTTTTTAACTTGACTTGCAATTAGGAATTACCTCTTGGCACCCTAGCATTATATGTGGGTTTTTTTTTCATTTTCTTTTCTCCTACACTATTAAGCAGCAATCTATAAACAATTACTTAATTGCACTAGGAGAGCTCATCATTTAATCGATCCTTCTGATGAATCCTCTCGCAATGTAAATACTCTTCCCTCTAATATATCAGTTTTATCCATTTCATTTTTTTATTGATTATTGAAGGGAATGCATTTCTACAAATCTCCTGTTCATTCCTGACTCTTATTCTTTAGGGCCACCTGAATATCTTTGTGTCTAGGTGAAAATTAAAGAATTAAACCTTATCTTCTGTCTTCCCTTTCTTTACTACTCTTGCCTCAGATCCCATACCTGGGATTTTGTTCCTGTGAAGAATTAGGAGAGACGGGAATATGGCAGCTGACAGATCCACCTATCCTTCCTCTGACCCATGGACCAACTGGGGGCTTCAACTGGAGAGAGACCTTGCTCCAAGAATGAACCACAGGGGTGAATGAGAAGAAAAGGGCTTTTGGAGACGTGTCTTTCTGTTGTGTTCAGTAACAGTGGGAAAATCTGCACCACACTCCAAGTGGACAGCTCAGAATAATTTAGCATTTTTCTTTCATGCTTAAAATTCTTATGATGAGACCTTAAATGAGAAAAAGACTTGATTCAGAGAAATAAAAATCATTCTCTCTGTACTCTTGCCTAGCTAACGCAGCTTTGGAGAATTGTCTTCCTGCATCCGGGCACCTGCTGCAGCAGAGGACATTTTCTGCCTTCCACCTATGCACGGCTAAGAAGTCTCACTCCTCCCAAAGGGAGCTGCCAGCCCTCTGCAAGGGCTGCAAGAGGAAAGAGTATGCCCAGAATCCCTCTGGGGGAGCATTGAGCTGCCAGTTTGGGAATGGAATTTTCTTTTGAACTCCATTTTCCAGTTAGGCAGAGCCAAGCTGAGGAATCCTTTTAAGGTTATTAGAAAATATGCCCTGAAGAGAGTTGTTCTTAAGTTAAATATCAAATTCTACCCTCAGTAGACCCCATACACCAGTGTCGCTGGCTCAAGACACCTGCTTGAGGATGCTGACATTTGCCTTGGCACCGCCACATTTTCTCTACAACGGCTGGCCCTTCTTGCTACAGCCTGTCCCCATTGCTTCTGTCTGTGAAATGGGGAGACAAAGCACTTTTGGATACTCAGGAGGAAGATAAGATAAAGGTGTGAAGTATTCAATCACAGATGCAGAGAACTTGCAAAATATACAGTGACTTGGAATTACCCATATTGTAGCCTAACGAGCCACCGCACTTCTAGATCACCATTATTTGTTTGCCTTTGCCCCTAGACTGTAGACTATGTTAACTGGTTAAGGATTTTGACCTTTCAAAGGGATGTATGTTAGATACAGTACTTAGTTAAAAGAAGCTCATTCTGTGCAATATGGACATCTTTACAAACCATATCAAGGGTCAGGTTGTTGGACACTTGCAGTACATGTCAACCACAACAGAACATCCACAAATGCATCAATTATACCAGGGATGTATAATGAAGTCAGGGAACTAATTTAAATGATGACAGTCACGACTGCACTGCTACTTGTGCTATTGGTTTTTGTTTGTTTTTCTATGATAATTTAAAATATATCAGTAGGGCTATTTAGAACATTTGGAAAGCCACATCCTGTGGTTTCTCAATACACCTACTTCCTGCATTTAGAGGGAGTTTATTTAAAAGAAAAATAAATGACAATCAAACCAAAACTTCAGTTATCAATGTCCATTTAATTGTGTGACTAGTAGACTGTTGATGGCCACAGACAAGGGTCTTGTATAGTATAGTTCACTCTGTAGACTATGTGTGCAAAGTGAAATCCCAGCCATGTAGAGAGAACATTAGTTAGTGTAAAACAGATCTATACATGTTGTAGCAACATGGAATAAATTTCAAAACCCAGATACATAAAACATGGTATATAAAAATAGATCTATGCTTGTATTTAAAACTGGAATTTGGTGGCCCCTGGACAGAAGAGGCAGTGAAAGGATGCTGGCTATAGATGTTAATCAGCAAAAGGTGAATGGATGTATTTTTTCAAGTCACTTAGAGGGAAATATGTCATGAATTTTACATTTTAAGAGACAGATCGTGGTTTCTTTGAACATTGCACAGTGATCCAGCTTCTGGGTATGGAAATGCCCCTGTGCTGACATGTTTATATAAATGTTTTAGCTTTAAAATGTTTTGGAGGGATGATTACTCCCATTAAAGATCTTAATAGAAAAGTCACATTACGGCTAATGTAATGTTAATACCATTCATTCTTCCGGTATTTGAAATGAAGCAAATACACGGTTTAATTAGATCTATTATCTTTATTAGGTACATAGCAAATTTCTGTGGGCTCTGAGTGCTTGGAATAACACCTCACAACAGATCTCCTTGAAACTGTAGCTGCGTGTTCTGGGCAGCATCAGTACTTGTAGAAAACACAGCCCAAAACTGGCTCTCCGCTCCAACTCTCCCGGTTGTCTCAGTCTTGTGATGATCTGATAAATCGGTTTGACTGGGTTACAATTGGTTGTCCTTAGTCCAATATGGACACAACCTTAGGCAATGGTCTGTGTGAGCAAAAGCAGGCAGAGATCTGAAATAATATTCTGAATAATTAAGTGCAGGAAAGAGTTTATTCCTAGGCTTTAATTATCCAAATTACTTACCAAAATGGCCCGCATGATCGGAATTCCCATTAAATTCTCATGGCACATTTCCCTATTTAAGAAACTAAACTTGGACTGCAACTGAGAAATTCTTTGGAAAACATGTTGAATCTATGTATAACACAGGGAACAGACAACTCTTATTACCCGATTTTATATCATCCAAACATACTAGGTTGATATTACATCCTGACGTTGAGGCCGGTTTTTTTTAATCTAAGCAGATGTTTATTAGAATAAATGATGTGTGGGGAGTGGAGAGGGAAGGAAGGACAAGAGAGGAAGGAAATGCCAGTTGAGAATCAAATGGTTTCTGGTATAGAGAAATTTTTTTGTAATGTAGAAAATTATCTGAAATAAACTAGGTGAGATGAAATTACCTGAAGGATTTAATCTGGGATTTAAAGTCTGAAACAGTTTCCTGCTTCAAAAGTATGCCACGTCGATCTGCTAATGCCCCAGTATTATTATTCATAGATAGGACTTTGCTTTGCAGGATTTTAAAATGCCACATCCATGTGGACTAGAATAATTGGCACATTTTAATGCACAAGCTGGGGGTTTCAGTTTCCCAGGCTCTCTTCACCATTGCTGTGTTGGTAGCTAGGAGCTTATTGCCTCACCCCAGTATGGAGTTCAGATTCCAGTGTTTCCCTTCACATTCGGATTTGTAGAATCTGAATGGCTGATTAAATGGCCATGCGATGGCTGAAAGAGGGGGTATTTTTCACCCTGTCGCGAAAGGCTTGGAGGAGTTTCTAGTTTTTATTTTAATTATACTTTAACCAAAGAATTATTTTAAAGTAAGCTTATATTTGAAAGATGATTTTGCAAAAAAAAATAAAATAAAAACATATCTTCTGGAGTGATGTCAGTGTGTGATGATCATCGTTGATAACTTCCTTGTCAGTGGTATTCGGAGTGCACATAGATTGTCTTCCCATCGTGCTCAGCATTACCATAAATGTGTCTTTTCCACTCAACTAGCTGTATTCGTATTAAAATGAAGTCTCTTATTTCAATTACTTAATGTCATTGGGAAAACTGAACAGCTACAGTAAGAGAAGTTCCTATCTTGTGGCCTTTGTGGAAAGGCTTCCCTGTGTGGTAAAAGGAAGGCATTCCTCCGTAACCTAGGCACTCTGCAACAGCAGTGTTTAATTTAAAAGCAGTGATGAATTGCTCTTTTGAAATTACTCTAAGTAATGCATGTGTTAGAATACAGATGAGCCTCCGTTTCATTCTCACAGGCTTCCGCACAGTCAACTGTACCGAATCTGCACGAACTTAGATAATGAGGTGCAGGGTTATTTGCATTTAAATTGTAATCCAGAACACGTGTGAGAAAGAAGCGGCACTAGCCTAGCAAGGCTGCCTTGCGGGAGGGATGAGACTGGCGGAGGAGGAGGAGGAGGGTGGAGAAAAGAGCGATTTAACATCTATTTAGGTTAATGTTCACTTTTCCAAAGGTGATGGGGGGATATTTTGTTAGGTGATGGAAGAATGCTTTTCATTTTTAAACATAGGATTAAAATTGGATTCGCTTCTCTTTGATACTTCAACATACTGAATTTCCCTAGGAAAGGGACGAGCTATAATGAAAATTCAAGGGATGGGGAAATAAAAGATGATCTCTAATTGAAGAGGAAAACTTGATTTTTAAATACGTATAATATTAGGTATGGTGTATGTAGGTTCAAAATTATAGTGATGAGTAGTCAAACTTAATATACAATCAGTTCTCACAAATATTTTACACGGTACCACTTAGCTGCTATTATACAAAAACTGGAATTTTGCAGCTGTTCAACTGTTGGTGGACTCTGTACAGGCTAGGTATGTATAATGGGCGACAGATACTGCTTCTCTGATTGCCACTCAAGATGGGAACACCATTGCAAGGCGTTTTGGTCATACAGAGACCATTCTAAGCCTGCTATTTTGGAGAGGTATATTGGTTTCTTTCTCATTTATAAGGCTATTGTATAATTTTTTTTTCTTTGTGATTCAGGTGTATTTATTTGAAAAATGTTTGTAATTATGACAATGAAAACCATACCTAACTGTATTGCCAAATTCCTTGTAAACTATCTGTGGCTTTTGTGCTTTTCTGGCTGAGAGCTCTAGCCTCTTGATACAGCTGTGGCACCATTGTAATTAGTTCATTCCCTTTCAGGAGCATCTCGTTGAAATCGTTCATAGATGATTTAATAAAGAGAAACTGTGTTCTTAGTTGACCCAGAGCAATTTCATGTTAAATTCTGAGCGGTCTCTCTTTCTATCACGTTTTCAGATGTTATTTTGGTCATTATTATTTTGTAAACACCCATTAAGTGTGTGATTCTTCTTCCAGAAGGTCTGAGGAGCACCTGCTGCTGCTAGAAGGGGGAGGATGGTCTGGCAGCGCTGTGGGTCTCTGGTCCCTCTGACCAGGTGTCAAGCCTCTGAAACCGCTCCCCCCCTCATAAGAGGAAAAGCAAGCTCCAAAATGCTTCCACTGCCCTCTGCACAAACTGTAGGTGGCACAAAATATTTTCCTTCCACCTCTGAGGCCCCTATAACAAAAGACAGATTAACAAGAGAAAAATATGCAAAGTTATTCATGGTTTACAGGACACAGGAGCCCTCATAAAGAAATGAAGACTTGGGGAAAAAAAGTTAGACCTGCATATTTTTATACAAAGTTTGATGAAGAACGGACAGTGTAGGGGTGAAGGGAAGACTTCCCGTCAGAAGGTTCCCTGAAAAAACAACTCACAAAAGGTATATTCATTGGAGGAATGGCGTACAATTTTGCTTATTCCAATAGCGACTCACTCCAATAAGCCTCTTCATAGAAAGCCCAGGTGGTAGTTTTCCAGGTTTAGGATAAGTTTTTCCCCTATAAGCAAGGGGTTTCCTGGAGAAGGTGTAGAGGAGGCAGCCCCCATAATCCCCAAAAATTCACTCCCAGATTTAAGACAGCAAAGGCTCTTGTTGCCACAGTTAAGGATGGTATTTGTGCATGCAGTGCTTCTGGTATCCCACAAATTTGTGGGCGGCCACCAGTCACAGACCAATTCATCTGTGACAGCGGGTAGGCCCTTCTAGAATTGGACTTTCCCAGAGCTAACCAAGCAACAAGGTTTGAGACCACAAAAGCCCCGTAGGGATGGAACCTTTTAATACAGGCTCTGCTGAGAGCTTGACACATTGAGAAGGAAGAGTGCGCTGCTTACATGTCCTCAGACTTCCAGTCTTTGCAGACTGGCCACCTGGCATCACCCAAAAAAATCACACACAGACCAAGAGAGAGTGTTCCCACTTGGTCACAAGTCAAGCTCTCAAGGACATAAGGGGGAACCTCATCAGGTTTTTGTTTGGAGGGGACCCACAGCAAAGTTTGTCTTAATAGATGATGGCATAGTCAGAACCACAAAACCAACTAGCCTGCAGGGCTGGCACGAACAGTGGCTTATAGGTGTCTTAGGCCCGTGTTCTACCCAGTGGTACCCTTCTTTATGACAGAATGACACAGAAAGACAAAGACGAAGGAAAACCACCAAAAATAGACTTTCTGAAAGGAAAGGCATCAAACAACAGTAATATTCATACCAAAAACCACACCAGAGTCGCTACACCCAGAACTAGTCACACATACTCTTTTCTCCCATTAACCAAGATTTTGGAGAAGAAAAAGACATAATGATTTTTCCTGTCTGCTTGACCAGATTCCAGAGAGAGAAAGACTGGGAGTCTGGCTAGTAAGAATCTCTTACCCTGATGCTAGCTGATCAGATCCCGGATTCCCTTGAGCATGGCTTCCGGAACAGCAGAGCAGCTTTGGTGATCCAGCTCATAACCCCAAAACTGCAGGGGGCAAGGGAAAACTTCCCCTTCATCCTCTGAAGTTTTGCTGAAAAATCAACGAACAAAAGGCAGATCAATTAGAGAAAAGGTGTGCGAAATTTATTAACGCGTATATGGGAGCATCACAGTCATTACCCACCGCCGGATGGGATGCAGAAATGTACACAATCTCAACGTTACAGAAAGCATGGGGG